AACTAATACTTGCTTATTATATAAACAGACTGTGAAAATGAAATCCCCTGATGATGGACCTCTGAAACGTCGGTTAACTTCTAACCGACTACAAGGCGCAACATCTCAGCAACTCTTAATATTAATTCCGTTGCTACACAAGAAACTGAGCTGTCTATAATTAACATAATCGGCAATAAATGCACGGATATCGAATTCGCAACCTGTATTCAGGCGCCATTTTGTATTCCAGCTGTCTCTTCCCCTTATTAGTATGATCAAATCAGAAACGCTAAGACAGGCAGAAAATGTCCGGTGCAATCGGATCCAACATTCTTGACAGAAGCCTAAGGTAAAGAGACTATTCGGTTGACCTAGACGACGAAGGAAGGTGACATTAAATTCACCTTCAAATGCACAGAACGAAATAGTGTGGATTTGATTTGGCTCAGAAGCGACCAATGAAACACAGCAATGAACTTCTGGTTTTCATAACAGACTGGAAATTTCTTAAGAGACTTGCCGACTATTTACATCTCAGGATCCTATATTCGACGCACTTTTCTTTGTACAAGTATGACACTTTATAGGCATACTGTACCCGGAGCACAACATATAATCCTAATGTAACCCCAACTAAAATTAATTCCTCCCGACTCAGTCTTCCGTCTTCCCTCACCTGGTTGCAGTCCAACATCTCCCGGGAGGGTCTTCAGTGGTTCCCATTACCACAAACATGAAGCCCATTCTCCCCTCTCCTCCAACTTGTGACCTAATTCCATTCAGAACGAAAAGTGAACAAAGTGTTTCTCCATGTCCTCTCAAGTAATTTGCTACATCCTGCAAGGAGAAATTAGTTAGGTCGGTGGCAACTTGTGGCCATCACTTTACAATTTCGCTGTATCAGTATTAAACTCTGCAATACATGATATTTCAATTATAGAAGCAATTCAAATTTTAGACGCTTAGAATGTAAAATTTCTTTTAAAAAATGACGATAACTGAACATACAGAAGATCGATATAATCTTCTGAAGCCGAAGTTCGTTTAAATAATATTTAGGAATTCAGTCCGTGCCGCAAAGAAAACGCAACTCTTCACTATTACAAAGATCAAGTGGTTAATTCTCTTTAAGAAAATAATCTCTGTTTAGCCTGAGAATAACACGAAACCCTTAACAAGAAGATGAAGGTTATTCGTTTTAAAAGTGGGACACGCAGTTACAGTTTGGGCGTTAAAGGGAAAAATAAAAAAGTGAAAATGTAGTGATATAAAGAAAGCTTTAAGTCAAAGCATTCAAATTTTATAAAGTACCTAGAAAATTATCCGTCAATAATAACTATAACATCTTACGTAGTGCTTACAAGGCACAACGGATCACACATGGACAGTTCAAGGGTCCCGTAGGTTATCATGTTTCTTACGCAACTTTCGAATTCTTGAGCAGACACACGATGTTAAAACTGAAAATCGTGGTTTTAAAAACTGATCACCAAACAAATCACATTTAAAAGTGTATTGTATCTATTCATCAGTTTGTAATACGACGTATGCTATTCAGTTAACGATTATTTTCCGAAAAATAACTATATCAATATTGACGAATGAAAACAGTATCTAAAACGTATGTTTTCTTCTGTGAAACTTGTGCATATTATATACATTATATTGCAGTTCACTTGTTTGTTTTGTTAATAAGCAGGAAAGAGCCAATAAATAAATTATCTATTCGAAGACAAACGATTTTTTTAAATCGCCTGATGATAAAAAATGACCAGCAAGCAACCAACAGCTGTATTTTATATGTACAGATAGATACAAGTTCAATTAAATTACGATTAAAACAATCACAATATCTATAGCTCCAAGTGTTACACAATTTAATCACAGGAAGTATAATTTGTGTCAAGTGTCCAACAGTGCTCAAGTTTAAAGAAAACCAAGGAAATTGTGTACTAATTTTATTGCACAGGCTATTTATTTATTAAAGAAAAAAGGATATACTATTAGAATGGAAGAAAATAACACATCTTAAGGGAATAGAAAATTACTGACTATCAAAAGAAACACTGAGAGAAACAAAGAAATATTAAAGAGAAAATTTCGATAGGGAAGGCAAGAAAGCATATTGGACATCGAAGGTAAATTCCGTTACAAACGCAATCACGAACACTGGAGCCGTGAAGCTGCAATTTTCATCGCAACTGCTGTATGAGAAGTAGTAATTCGATTAAATTCAGTACACTAATGGATGAAATGGTAGATATGCAATGAAACTGACATTAATTATTATACAATTAACTGTTAATAATTATGCGGAACCCAGATATACGTTATAATCGAAGCCTCAGAATACAATTTAATTTATCAGATTACATGACCAACAATCCCGTCACCTATCATTCAAAGTGTGAACTTTAATTGTATGTGCATTACATGATCTTCTCGAGTCCCACAAGTGCAACAATAATTATGTTTTTCATGTTGGAACGCTGTGGGAAGCCCGAAATTAGTTTATCATGCAATGTAGGGTTAATTGAGTGTTGAAATGTATGAAAAACCGTGCACATCATCATCAGACAAAAAAGCTGAGTCTTATCAAATTTTAAACATTAAACGTTTAAAGCCGAAGCTCGCGTAAATAATATTTAAGAACTCAGTTCGGACCGCAAAGAAAACTCCACACTTCACCATTACAAAGATCAACTGGTTAACACTCATTAAGAAAATAATCCCTGTTTATACTGGAAATCATACTTAACCCATAAATACAAAATGCAAAGTTACACGTTGTTAAAGTAGGTGGAACATTTATTTCCCACTGGGCTAGTGAGGAAATGTCTTTGGGTACCATCACAAACGGCTGCACACCTCTATGTCTGTTCCCACAAACACTTTCTGACCAACTAACGCATTTTCCTGAAGCTTGGTGCGAATACCACACCACTAGATGCCTAACAAATCAGACATGCTGATGTTTGTGATGGGTCCCAAATAGGAACACAGAAACTTCATTAAGATAGCATCATTCAAGATAAAGACGCAAACACTGATTTGAAGCTGTAGAATTATCCTTCGGAGCTCATTAAACAATTATGCTAAATGAGAAAGCATGTGTACGTCTATAATATAAAACCCAATAATTAAACAAACACTCATAAAGTTAAATAAATATCGATACGTAACCCGTCACTCAGAAAATCGTAATAATCGCATTATGATGAGTTCATGTACCCTTGTTTTCTTCGACATATGAAATTTAGTAAACAAGAGCAGATAATCCTAACAGAATGTACAACACACAATGAAGAAGTGGATATCATATCTAACTCCATGAAGCAGAGTCTTTGACAAGCTTGTCATTACTCAGCTGTTAAATACGTTCTCTGCGTTTCAGGAATCCCTGATGATTCATTATCGTTTGCATATCTCGACTCCGGTCCCTATCCTCGGTCAGCAGAGCCCAATAAAGTTTGCACATTTTAATATTATACTCTCATCTATCACCTTGAGTATTAATGTAGAACTGACATTAGAATCACAGCCTGAACATCTGAAGAAAAGCAGGATTAGCAAGTTCTTCCCACAAAACTAAGTACGCGCGTGCACCAGTACATTTCATAAGGGCTGAAACTAACGCAAGTACCAAGTAATGTTCGTGGTGCTTCGAAATTACACAAATGAAGGGATGGAAACTTTTCTTTTAAAAACAGAATAATAATTCTGTATTTTACTCTACAGCACAAATGAAGTTTAACATATTAAAGAAAAGCCGGCATAGCAAGGAATTGAATTATCGAATTTTCTAACCTCAAACCCGGAGAAAACTGCAGTTCAGTAAGAAATGTGTCAAATTAAAGGAGACGGTGGCCGACGGCAAAGCAGTTTAATGCAGGAGTGACACAACTGTCTTTGTCTACGTACCTCATTTAAACCGTTCTGACATACGAAGTTTTATGTGTGAAACATCAGTCAATTAGCTTAGTCACTTTACTTAAGGTCGTAATAAAATTAATATCTATAGTTTATTTGGTAAAGTTTGTCACCGTAAATTAAAAACAACTCTAAGATCAGGCCAAATTATTCTTCCGATTTATTCGACTGTGGTTGTATAAATTGCATGGGCTTTATAACATAAATAGGGCGATGATTATTGATTATGAAATAAGTTGCAAAATAAGGAAGGCGGTGGTAAATTTGAAGAGGTTTCAGAAGTCTGCTGTAAATCAGAAACAAATTCCCGTCTCATCCCACTTAGCTATACTGTTTGTATCTGAGACATGAAAACGTTGGTCGTTGCATATTTAAAGGCACTACTTGGTAATTTTAAGAGGAGAGTAACTGTCACCGCAAAAGCTAAGTTAGGTTGCATTCAGTCTGGGATTCGAAACGGGCATCAATCGAATACAGATACGAATCCATTGTAGACGAGAAGAAAAAATGGTCAGTGGAACCACGGTTCCGGAGAATTAGACGTAAATACGTCTATACGGAAAGGAAGTTTATATATTGGCTTTATTCTAAATATTTCCTTCATACATGCTTTACAATTGAGATAATTTTGATTAAGACATTGTTTATTTAACTTGAATTAGTTACGCTTAAGATGGCTCTGTGGTAGCTGAATGTAATGTAATGTTAGGTAATCAAATGTTTTATAGGGAACAACAACGCCGAGAAAACAGATGACGTTTCCTAGGTAACAAAAATGTCGAGTAAATAGATGTTTCTTAGGTAACCAATATTGTCGATTTGTTGATAAACAGATGACGTTTCCTAGGTAACCATTGTTGTTTATTTGTTGATAAACAGATGAAGTTTCCTAGGTAACCATCTTACACATTTTCGTCACACTTTTTTGCGGAATGACACTGACCCTAAAATATAGACGTATTTACGTCAAAAAAATCAATGATCTCTTACATTTGGCCCCAAAAGATACACCTCGTGTATTAAAATAACTTTTAGTATGTAGGATTAGAATATATATCGTACAGCTTCAATCAAGTAAACTCACGTACTGTGTTAATTTCATGGAGGCTACTAGCAACTCCGGACACAAGACGGCTTCCTTCTAGTTAATTTTGGATCTACATTGCAAACGTTTCTGCACTCAACAAAACAAATAACTACATTCACTCGGCCAAAATACACTTTAAAATCTAAACTTGTCCCCCTTGCTTACTAAGAAGCACATAATGAAAAGCTGAGAAAATATAATTTCATATACAGCAGGTTCTCACAACATACACTTTTTCAATGCGAGTACAATGGGTAATTTCTATTCTACATCACGCGCTGAGGCTGTTACTAGAGCGACGAGGTTTCACTGAACATTTACGTTATAGGGTCTACAGACATATGTCGCTCTTACACTATTATACTGGCAGACTGTTTGACGGTGATGCATATATGATACCCCTCAAGCCCTATTAGGTTAATATAATTGTCAATTAATAGTATATATAGACATGTGTATCCTGTCAGTGCTCCTAGACCTAATTGTATGGGAATATTAAAAATATAGGAAAGGTTTGATTTAAATCTTGTTGTGAACTGAAGCAATATTCAATTATCAGTTACATGCATATTATTTCATACACTGAGGACTAACAATCAATCTCTATTTATCTAAACTCACGATAATTACAACTGATTGACTAGTTACCACAGATGAAATGTACCGCAGAGTATTTCAATTTCAAGGCTTAATAAATTATAAATTTTATTGCAGGTGCGTTATGCAACTTGTCATTAATAAGGTTCCCTGTGTCAAAATGTCGATAATATATCTTGTTATCAAACTCTACCACATATGGAATGAAATGAGGTTAACACGAATTCTTGTTATCCTAGACGAATATGACTTGCCAGCTTTAGTGGAGGAGATTTCATGTTGACCGTGTTAAGACTTCTTAGCCAGGCCAATACTTTAAAAACAAAAAAGTCACACTTTATATTTCAGCACTATTCCGTGTATTGGAACACAGCAGAACCTATCAGATAAATGCAGCATCGTTAGTCAATAGCAGCCAGCTAGGCAAGTCAAGGAAGGAATTCACCCCGCTCTAAGGTCACCAGTTCAGCGCTGCTAACTCTGCGAGTTCTCGCATGTGCTTCGCTGTACTTGTCGTATCGTTTACGATTTTGCTGCGACCTTCGAAGCAATCAATTTTGTGACGCGTAACATCGGTGAGGCTTACGCTCGTGGCCAGCGTCTGGACATCAGCGCATTTTATCCTATCGGTTCTGTTGAGTTCCAGTGTATGGAGTACCAATGAACCACGGAATTATGACACGACATTACATTTAGCCGGGTTAACTGGGCTAATATTAATTCTACGCTCATAGACACGGTTCACTCTCAGACAGCTTTACCACAAAGGAAAGAACTTCCGGTGAACACAGGACAGACTGCGCGGGAGATAGAGAAAAAGCCTGGAAGCGGTGGCTGAGAGAAACATCCTGGTCATTAAGACCATAAATGGTTTCTTTATTGAAATATCCGGACTTGAACGTGTTTCTAACCGAACTGAAAATGATGCTGTGAGGCAGAGGGCAACATCTCCAGCACGATGCGACAAAATGTTGGACGGTGTTCATGATCTGAGATAGAAATTTCCGAAGGTGGACACATATGCACCTTCTGATTTTCTGTTACCTATAATTATCGGTAATTATTATTACAAACAACATCATTATCACAATAATTCAAAATCACAGTATTATACTATCAGGCACTGGCTCTTAAAATTTTTATTATAACGCAATGAAATTAACTTGATTTCAGAGAACTGCTTCGGAGTTTTCTAAAAATATGCCGCGTTCCTAAATTTAGATTATTTTGAAGCTTCTGTTTCCTGTTTTGCGGTATACGAAGTAGACTACGTCAAGGGCCTCAATGACGCGTTTTCATAACGGCCCGTGTTTAAAGGAAGCATCTGGCACAATTTTTACTTCCTGCACTTTCCACATGCTTCTCTTTTTCTTATACTTTATTTATCCTTCACGAAAAAGGTTTTTATTAGATTATTAATACTTTGTTCTGCACTGAATTGGCCCAGAAATGTGTCCGACAGCGTTTCTCATACCTCGTATTTTGTCAACAGTCCCTTAAAATAATTGCATACGACTGTTATTGTACAAAATGAAATGTTACTGGCTGACAATATTAAATTCTTGTATCTTCTAATAAGTTTTGTGTTATTGTTTCAGAACGTACTTGAGGGCTTACAATATGAAGAGTTTGCTGCACTGCATATAATACTTCAGAGAACATATTATGAAGCTTATTTTGTTTTTTACCTGTATTCTCCATAGAAAATTTTACAAGTACGTTGCCCACTTTGGTGTGGGGTGTGGTTTCCGTTAATATTGTTGCAACAGAACATGAGATTTGTGTGTAATAAGAACACAGTTTCGCATCGCCGCCATATTTATAATCCCGAATGCAAGAATCAATAGCATTGTTTATGGCATTACATAACACTCGTGTAGCAGGCAATATTTTGAATCTGACACGAGAGAGCTTCTTGTGAAAGTAACAGTTGCTCCGCTCTCCATAAAGTCAGCACCTTTTAAAATACTAAGGCACTTACTTTATCGCATCTGAAACAGACCGCCACATATTTCTGTCCTGTGTCAAATTAGCCTAGTCCATATTCTTATATTACATTGCTTCCAGATCCATTTTTGTATTTCTTTCCATCTAAGCCTATGTCCAAAACGCAGTCTCTTCCTTTCAGACTTCCAACTACAAAATGATTATGTAATTTTCATCTTTCATATGCTCGTCATATGTCATTTTAAAATCATGCTTCTTGATTTAATCACTCCAATAATATTTGACGAGGAATACAAATATGAAAATTAAATCTGGTGTCCCGGCAGCTGAATTTTATATGACTACACATATTTAAATTTATGCAACACCAAACGTCCGTTTGGAAAGACACAGTTTCGCATCGCCGCCATATTTATAATCCCGAATGCAAGAATCAATAGCATTGTTTATGGCATTACATAACACTCGTGTAGCAGGCAATATTTTGAATCTGACACGAGAGAGCTTCTTGTGAAAGTAACAGTTGCTCCGCTCTCCATAAAGTCAGCACCTTTTAAAATACTAAGGCACTTACTTTATCGCATCTGAAACAGACCGCCACATATTTCTGTCCTGTGTCAAATTAGCCTAGTCCATATTCTTATATTACATTGCTTCCAGATCCATTTTTGTATTTCTTTCCATCTAAGCCTATGTCCAAAACGCAGTCTCTTCCTTTCAGACTTCCAACTACAAAATGATTATGTAATTTTCATCTTTCATATGCTCGTCATATGTCATTTTAAAATCATGCTTCTTGATTTAATCACTCCAATAATATTTGACGAGGAATACAAATATGAAAATTAAATCTGGTGTCCCGGCAGCTGAATTTTATATGACTACACATATTTAAATTTATGCAACACCAAACGTCCGTTTGGAAAGGAAAAAAAAAAAAAAAAAAGAGAGAGAGAGAGAGAGAGAGAGAGAGAGAGAGAGAGAGAGAGCATACTTTACAACCTCCCGCCGCTGCAACCTCTCTGACCCTTCGTTAGGAAGGGACTAAACACGCGGAAACCTGTTATTATTTACACCTCTTAGTTACATACCATCTTTTTGCTAGGGACTAATAATAATAGAGCCGGGAACAATGAAGCTTACGCCTTGGTAATACATTCTTACGTCGCATTATTTGTCTTCACGCACTGCATAGAAAACCCTAAAACATGCTGTGATGTGCAACACTATTTTCACATAAGATATAAACCTATAGTAGATGAAAACTAAATGAACTGGGAAGGGCAGAGAGTCTGACCCCAAAGTCGAATGCAATGGCCGAATCTATATGTGACATTCTATAGTTTTCCAATGTCTTCGATTATGACATACTTACATCAACGCAACTCATAGTAACCTTCAAAACGAACCTAAATTATAATCACTGTTAACAAACCGGAAAGAAATACAATGAGCCTTAATAAAATTTAGATGTTGGTATATAATATGAACCATTATCAAAAACATAAGGTCACTGACACTTATCTTTGAAGTGAAGGTTTAAGACAGTTTCTTAGCATTCGCCGGACGCGACTGAGAAAAAGCATTAATAGCCAAAGTAAGAGTATGAATTCGCCGGAACGGATTGGCATATACAAGAACATGGTTGCGACCATTCCACTTCTCTCGGACTCTGCTTTCGGCCAGCTGCAGGAAGTTTGGAACCAAATTTCGAAAGTTCAGGAAACCCCAGGGTATGGAAATGGAGCAAGAAATAACATCAAGCTCAAAGTACATCTGTATAAGTAATTTAGTTCCACTCCCAGGGTCGCCTGGTCAGTGTTTCCTCTTCGGTCCTCCTCTAGGACAAGCGTTCCAAGTAAATCCCCCTTTCACTCTAAGTTCAACAATGAGACGGCTCAGGAACTTCACTTAAGTTTGCTCATTAGAGATGCCAGGACTCTCCGATTCCTTGGTTAACACGCAAGATTGCCTACACAGGAGATCCCAGAACATATGGTCTTTGCTAGTGCATGTATTCAGAATTTCTTTATGTTCTAATAATATTCTTGAACAAAGAGAATTTGATGTTTTGAAGTTCGTTTCGCGGTTCTGAAATTATAACTGATAATCATATTTATTCCTTGATTTAAAACCTCATTCTTCTCTGATACTATACGGGTATGTCAGGGATCATGTTTTATTGCATTCTGTCTACGTGTTGCATCTAATTTAACTGATACTTTTGTATGCTACTTATGTTTATGTTCACCGCCAGCGAAATATTTCTTCATTTGAAACAGGTTTCTTAACATAGGATTTGAGACTTTCGCGGCGAGTACAATCAATAAAATCTTCTCGCGCAATCAGCCGCTTCAACTGGTTACCGTGGTAGACCGACGTTTCGGGAACCAACTCTGTCCCCATCATCAGGGTTCTGATGTCACTGGATACCTCGAAAGCCGCCTGTGTACACAGAAGATTTTATTGAGGTTTCTTAACGTTACTTCGAACTGCGATCTATGAAATCCCATCTGTGCAATTTCTACCGTTCTCTATTTGTTATTTTCCCTCACAACACATGTTTCACTTTGCACACACAGGTCTAGACTCAAATCAGATACAAACTAGAGGCGCAGAAACTCGCGTACGCGAGTGCAAATGTCACCTTGAAGATTTCCGATGAATCGCCCTGAAGACG